CTTTTTAAAAATTAAAATTTTTCTAGTTTGGTTTGAACTTGTTACCTTTGGGCATTGATCTGAAGTCATTACTGTTGAATTTCAGTAACTGCATACATTTTGTATATACTACTAATAATATACTTAGGGTAGGTTTCTAAAGCGCAGATGTCTTTAAACATGGAGCTCGATAAAGCTTACAATTTTAAGATATTTAACTGGTTTTGATGAATTTTTTTTAGTGCACTGAAAGAGATACAGATACAGACAGCTTGCAGACGCTAGACGGCGGTAAATGTGTCTCCGTTTCTTGAAATGAAAACATTTCACAATCCCGGATACGCATCGGAATGTGGCTGGTGGCACTAACCGGGAAAGTCGGGGGGCTTTGGCCATAAAGCTCGCTGCAGCCACAGAAACAGATACACAGATACATTTACTCAGGCACAGATACATCTGTGGGCCAAGAGAAAAGAGCCGCAATTGCCGCAATAGAGAAACACGAAAAAAAAAAATCACCGGAGGCTCTAACTCTGTTAATGCACTTTCCATTGTACTCGTACTCTTGACCAGGTGATGTGGGCTGGGCTTGGATTTGGGTTCGGTTTTGGGTTGGCCTTCACTTGGCCACGTTTTCGTGTGATTCGTGTTTTCCTCCTCGAATTTCCCACGGAGATTATATCACTCCAACAACCCAAAGGAAACGCGCTCAGTCAGATCCTCATTTCGAATTGTTACGGAAACTTGCAGGAAATTGCCTGTGATAGTTCGCTTTTCTAAATTGCGCTGTTATTAAACTCTGATATACAAATTATGAATTAATATATAGTTATGCAAATGAGATTATATACTACACACAGCATTTAGTTTGTAATCTATATACTATATATTTCGGAACTCTCAGATTAAAAATCGGTCTTTTAATAAATTTAATTCGATAATCTACTTTTTTTATTTCAGATTAAATACTCAGAATACTAGTGGTATTTAATTTCTATTTATTTAATAGTTTGTTTTCTCAGATTAAAAGATAGTTTTATTTGAGCACTCATATTTCCCCTTAAAAGCTGCATCGCCTTTATGCACGTGTAAAAGGAAAACAACGACCTAAAGAAAACTAGTTTATAATCGAGTTTAGATTGTTTTGCGAAACATAAAGGAACCCCTGTGAAAATCCTGTAAGTTACAAGGAGAACAAAGGCGAAAGGGCATAAATTACGAATGCACAGAACTACTTGAAGTTTGTTTTCGCATCGTGTTCGATCGTGTTTTCCTGCCAGACAATATGCAGATGTATCTCTTGGCTCTTTATTCTTGCAGCAACCACCGAAGTCCGCCTCCTGCTTCCCATTATTTTTCCCATTTTCGCAACAATAAACATGCCCCTAAGGGCAGCCAGCCAACACAGACAACTAATTAAATTTTCTATGGTATGAATGCGCTTTTGTCGCATTAACCCCCATTCCCATTTACCAACTAGCAACAACCAACAACCAAAAACCGAACCCAAAATCGAGATCCTCGGCGCAAAGAAGTCTTATTAAGTTGCCATTACCTTTGAGGAGGCTCAGGTAGGAAGTAGGGCGATCTATTCATATTCATAAGCCCATTGCCACCGCCATCAATAGCTCGTAAAAAGTAAAAAGTGTGTGAAAACTGGAGGGGTGCCGAAGATCCAGATCCCCGATCCCCGATCTCCGATTCCAACTTCAATTCCAATTCCGTTCAGGGTGGTTGCCCCCTATATCTTGTACTATATCTTCCTCGCCAGAAGCAGCACACACGTGTTCATCATTTGTTGCCTGTTGCTAGGCCGAGATACCCTAAATACCCACCCCACAACCCTCGTAACCCCTTCTAAGCCTTTGTGGTAGTTTTGCCAAAAAAAAAAAAAACACAACACGAAATGAGATCACTGACAACTGGAAAGTCGAGAACTTGCGTAAAACTTTGGCCAACCAAGTTGTTGGTTGTTGTTGTAGTTGTTTTTATTGCTGTTGTTGTTGCTGTAGTTGTTCTTGATGTTGTTGTAGTTGTTGCTTCGCAGTGTCTCCTGTTGGTGAGAAACTTTTGCCGAAAACGCCGCACATGCGCGAGTACTTGTACTCCACTTACTCACAGCGAAAACGACCAAGAATCGTACTCAAATTCAAGCCAAGAGACTTAGCTTGCCACTGAAAGAAATTCTATATATATTAAATTTGGTTTGATTTTAGTTTAAATTATATATAAATGTATATTTCAAGAGTTTCCCAGAAACATGCGTCAATCCACGCCAATATTTTGCATATAAAAACAAATGAATTCGATATTCTTCAACAGTCATTTGTTTTTGAAAGAAATTTACCAAGAACTTAACTCAAATTCTAGCTACCGACAGAAAAAATGCAATTTTAATTTTTTTAGTTTAATTTAAGGAATTCAAAGAACCTCTTAAAAGCACTCATGATCCCGCTCCAAAATTTTTTTTATTTTTAAAAATGTTTATATATTTTGTCATGATTTTTCAATCAATCAAAAGAAGTATCCTCCATTTGGATTGAAGAACTTGTTAATTTTATAGCCACTTTGTATGCAATAGTGTTATTTTCCCAGTGCTTTGTCGCCGAGTCGAAAGTACTCTAAAAGACCGTCCAGATACCCAAGCATTCAAGTGTGATGAATTTATGTATGTAGTCTCAACTTCGGATCGGGCATAGAAAAGTTTTAGATAATTGGCTAATTATATGTTCATGTGCGTTATGAATTTCATTTTCCATATCTTCAATTTAGGAATTGAAAAACTTTCAGTCGCCTTTTCTTGCCATGCGGGTTCTGCCGGGCGAAAATATAAATTGCTTAATTTGTGATAAACATTTATGGTGGCCCAGGCCCAGGCGGAGTCCAAGTCCAAGTAAAAAGTCGGTCTCGTTGGATCAGGGCCATGTGAAAAGTGCAGCACTTTCACTATTTCCCCATATTCCCCGCCCCGATGTCAAATTGAAGTGCCCGGAGTCCGGGTTTCAGTGCTGTGGGCACCACTTCTTCTCACAGAACCCAGAACGTAGATGATATCGGGCGAAAACAATAATGCGGAAAATTGCTTTTATTAAGATGGATAACCAAAATTTACATTTAATCTAGCAAAGAAAATTCTATTTGTTCAATGAGTGTACATTTTGGAAGAAGTTGAAATACAAACTCAAATAATTAAATTAATTACTTGACTAAAACTGTTTGAGATTTAAAGATTTTAGAGCTTAAATTAACCAAATTAAGAATTGATACAAAGCAATATATATTGAGATTAGTTTTTGCCTTAAAAAGTTAATTAAGCTTATAAAATACTTTTATTGATTTATAATCTATTTGTCTGGAAAACTGTTAAACTTATGACCTAGTTTTTTGGATATAATCAACTAGATAATTTAATTTAAAATACCAACGAAAAAAGTAAATGTAAGAACAATTAATATAGTGGTGTTTTCTTTAAATCTGGCAAGTTTTTATAAAAAGTGTTTTTGGAGAACCACCAAGCCGACTTCCTTCATTCCAAACCCCTCGATCTTCAGGTCGCTTTCCCGGATTTCGAGCGCGTTCAGAATAATATTAATATTGCTTACAGGCCCCCAAAAACCTTAACCCCACCAGCACCACGACTCTCGCACCGAATTGATAATGCCGATGCCGATGCCATAATGTTCGCCCCATAAAGTGTGTGCCAGAACACTTTTATTATATAGACCAGACCGCACTATATTATACACTGAAAAATAAATGGAAAATGGGATCTGTAATTTTTTTTATTTATGTAATTAATTATTTTTTTCATAATTAAAATAATGTAAAGCCGCAATAGATGCAAATCAAAGCGAAAAATATTTAAGCTGATTGTGAACGACTTGAATATACTACGTTTTTTTACCAGTGTGCATATACATAACTGTAGGAACGGCCACTTCCACTTTGAGTTCGAGACTTCGCAGCTCTGTCTTTCTCTTTCTGTTCGGTTCGGTTTCTGTTTCTGTGACTGTGCAAATTATTGTCGCTCATATAAAAAATATTGCAGGCCATCCAGAGGCGGGCGATGACGGAAGTTCAACTAACTCATTTCCGGTTATGTGTCGGCCGGATCCTCAATTGTCAGTATGTGTGTGCTCGAGAATCTGAAAATATACAACGACCAGTATGCGGTATGCATGGTCTTATGGTATATATGGCATATAAATGTACTTGTATATGGCGTCTGCCTTATCGAGTGGGATCTTCAGCGCTTAAGAATCGATCCGTTTCTTAATGATAACAGGGATTGTATTGGATTTTAAATCAGTAGACAAATGATATTTTTGATTGATAACTCTATCCGATCGATTGCGAAATTCCGCTTTTAATTAAGTTGTAAATAAATACACAAATTTTTTGGGATTTTTTCACACCAATTAACTGACCTACCAACTAATATTTTCTATCAGTAGCTTAAGCGACTTAAGAATTCGGTTCATCCGACTACATAACATGTTAAATGCCATTTTTAAAAAACATTTCCGTTAAAAGCGACATGTAGAATTAATGAATTATCTACTCAAATGTAGACAAGATGTTGACAGTGATGCCGGATCGTAGAAAATAGGTTCATCAATTGCCAGGCACAGCAGACGTTACAAAGGTTTTTATTAAATGAAGTGGTTTTTGGGACAACAAGTATTATTTTGAGACCGCGACGATGTAGCTAAAACCAATTTTTTAAAAAATTAAATAAAATATAAAAAATAGTTTAGTGATGTTTTAAAATGTCCATTCTATTTTGAAAGTTAGAAATGAAAACGGAAAAACGAAGAATCCAGCTCAACACTATAGAATCCTAGTACAAAGGAAATAAAGGTGCTTTCAATATTCAAAGTTTGTTGAATTTTAAATGTCGATGACAAACATGGGAACTTATCGGAATACGGCTCGCCAATCGAAAGTCAAATCTGCTGATCTGGCAATGCCGCAACTTTGTTTACCTATTGATAATATTTTTTTGCCAAAGAGAAGCCCAGAGTAATTGCATAAATGGGCATGGAAACAGAAGCCAAAGGTCGACGCTGATAAGAATGCACTTCGGGGGTGACCTCTACAATCAGCACTTAAGAGCACCCCCAACCCCAAACCCCAACCATACAAAACTGATAAGAAGTTCGGCTCGCAGAACAGGGAGAACAAGTTAAATACAAGTCGTGCAGAGCTAAACGCTCAGTTGGAAAGCAAACGTGGAGCAAAACAGTCACAGCCGTGGACGTTCGAAGACGAAAAGACAGATGAATGAGTGAACGAGTGCCAGAAACGGGTTAAGAAACGTTAACACTCAACGGTCAGCGATCTTTGGCATCGCAATCGCATCTTCGTCTGCAAACTCACCCAACTCGCACCTCGGTCGTTTTAGGCATCATTCAAGGGCAACCCTCGTTTTTTTCCCCAACTGAATCACCATACGGGAGCTCTTTAACATAATCACCTGTAAAAAAAAACAGGTGAGCGAGTTGTTTTTTGCACGGCAGACGACGGGTAGAACCGTTTTTTGTTTTTGGTGACGTCAATGAGAATTCCGCGCTCGTGTGGCCTAATTTCGTACACAATTCCAGAGGATGGCCCCACCCACCGTATTGGTCACCGGAGGAGCCGGCTACATTGGCTCCCACACGGTTCTGGAGATGCTCAATGCGGGCTACAACGTCATCTGCGTGGACAACCTCTGCAATGCCTACAGCAGTGGAGCAGCCAAACTGCCGGAGGCCTTGAGCCGCGTCCAGGAAATCACCGGCAAAAAGGTCAACTTCTACAGAGTGGACATCACGGACAGGGAGCAAGTGCGCTCCGTTTTCCAGGAGGTGAGACTCCATGTGGTGCGATGGGCACGTCAGCAGTTCTGTATGTTCTACATACACATATGTGCCAACTGGATACCATTCAATCAGCCTTATCTGGCATGCGCGCTATCAGCTTTTTCTCGTTTCGCTTGCGCTTTTTTGTTTGTTCAAGTGGTCGGGCGGGCACTTCCGATCGACCCTGAACAAGAGACCCACTTGGCGAGGTCGGAATCGAGTCGCGGCGACGCGCTGGCATCCACATCCACAATTCTACTCCCGGGCACGTACCTTGCACTCGAGAAGATTGGGAGGCCGAAAAACACCAAAAAAAAGCATAGATAACAAAGTTAACATGTTCCTATTTCCAAAAGAATTCGCTACAATCAATGTAATGGGAAATTTAGACAGGTCTTCACGTACTTAGGTTCGTTGAAGTCTTGAGAAAAACATGTTTATCAACTTACATCAACTCATTACCAAGAGAATTCGCTAAAATTTGTGGAATAGATCATTTAGGCAGGTTTTCACTTAGCAAATACCCAAGAAAATAACTAAAAGTCGGTTTTTCTGTACTCATTCAGTCTTCTTCATTTGTTTAGGTTCGTTGACGCCTCGACAAAAGCATGTTATCACCCAATCAGCCATGAAATATCAGTGAGCTTTAAAAATGCAAAGCTTATGCTGACACTGTTTTTATAATATAGATACCCAAAATATTATAACTCAAAAATGAAGCTCTAACTAAGTTTAAATGATTTTCAAAAATAATTTCACTTATACACAACTTTTACTGGCCACATGTTGATAACTAAATAGATTTTGCACTAATCGTCGTTCTAATCAGTACTTGCCATTTAATAACCTTCAGTGAAACATTGACATACTATTTTTCCAATGAGTAATTCAAGAAATATCAAACTAGGTTAAATCTATCTAAAAAAAACAGTTTTTTTTACAAATAAATATTACAAAAGAGCATTTGTAGTAACATCCTTAATGTTTATGTATAAATGTATGCTTATCATACCTTAAAATTAAGAAAACTCCTTCAGTTTCTTAACTTATCAAAGTATACCCTCTTTTTGCTATAAATAACAAAATAGGTATTAAAATAGGCTTAAGCTCAAACTAATATTTGGTTAAGAATAGTACTACAGTTATAGTATAGTTATAGTACTTTTATAGATGATTGCTCTCTATAACAATCGAATAAGTGCATATTATTTAATGTATTGAAAAATTATTAATCAAAACAAATCGCCTCCCTTTTACAGCACAAAATCGACATGGTGGCCCACTTTGCGGCCCTGAAGGCCGTTGGCGAGTCCTGCCGCATTCCTCTGCAGTACTACCACAACAACATGACCGGCACGAATGTCCTGCTGGAGGCGATGGCCGACAACAACGTGTTCAAGTTCGTCTACAGCTCCAGTGCCACTGTCTACGGCGAGCCCAAATTCCTGCCCGTCACCGAGGACCATCCCACTGGCAACTGCACATCGCCGTACGGCAAGACCAAATACTTCACCGAGGAGATTCTCAGGGATCTGTGCAAGTCAGACAAGGTGGGTAGTCAGTCCCTTTGGCTTTTCTAAGATCCCAACTAACAATGTTTTGTGCAGCGATGGGCGGTGGTATCGCTGCGCTACTTCAACCCGGTGGGCGCCCACATCAGCGGGCGGATTGGGGAGGATCCCAATGGCGAGCCCAACAACCTGATGCCCTACATTGCCCAGGTGGCCGTGGGCCGACGAGCCAGCCTGAGTGTCTACGGCAGCGACTTTCCCACGCACGACGGCACGGGAGTGCGCGACTACATCCACATTGTGGACCTCGCAGAGGGACATGTGAAGGCGCTGGACAAGCTGCGCAACATCGCCGAGACTGGCTTCTTCGCCTATAACTTGGGCACCGGCGTGGGCTACTCGGTGCTGGACATGGTGAAGGCGTTCGAGAAGGCCTCCGGCAAGAAGGTCAACTACACCCTGGTGGATCGCCGCTCCGGAGACGTGGCCACCTGCTTTGCGGATGCCACGTTGGCCTATCAGAAGCTGGGCTGGAAGGCCGAGCGCGGCATCGACAAGATGTGCGAGGACACGTGGCGCTGGCAGAGCCAGAACCCCAACGGGTATGCCAACAAGTAGTGGCCCGTCTGCCCGTCTGTCAGTTCCTGAGTTACTACACCTGCCCCATAACTCAGGTTAGCCAGTTTGTGTATATTTCTTTCCAAATTCGCGTGTAGTATCCCCTATTTTCGATGTGTGCAAGTGCAAGTGTGTGTATGTAAATCCAAAGTACTTTGTAATTAAAAAGGCTTTTCGCTGTTGTCATGTAACTCTCAGCCTATTACTGTGTTTGGTGACCGCTGGCATCGTTGGCGTTAGTTGATGTTGACGCGCACCAATTGGCGCAATCGCGTAATTAAGGTCGAAGCCAAGGTGGCAGAAGTCGTCACTGGCAGTTTTCACTTAGTAATAGCTCATAATTTACCTGAGGGCAATCAGATCTCAACTGATTCACTCTAAAAACCCGCTTATAAGTGTTAAGCAAATTACAAAGCTTCTTAATTGAGTTAGACCAATAAATATAATACAGGAGACACTTCCCTCACATTTATATAGCAAACATTTATTCAATTGCAATTTAACATTAAAAACTCAATTTTAAAACTTAAGTGATGCGCTTTCTACGCACATATCTGCACAGTTAAAGTTATTTATCACAAGTAAGTACTATGAATGTATGTTGGTTTCAACAACTTTGCGTTCGCCATTTGCTTCGGTTTCGGTTTGGTTTTTGGAATGGTCTGCACATATAAAAGTACAAAATTGTTTATATGGTGGAGTCTAATGTTTGTGGAACTGTTTGTTTATATGGGCATTTGGCAATCTGTTTTCTGCTCAAGAGCTTGGCGAGATTCGTTCAACAACGGATGTAGAGGCAAAGAAATCGAAATCGAATTCAACAAGAAGCATTACTGGGTGCTACATTTACGGCTGGCTATATGTGTGCGCGATATGCATAAGTTATGAATACATATATATATATATATATAATATCTAAGAGTTCGGATAGTTTCCAAGGGGCGAAGAGATCCTTGCCAAGGGAGGCAGTGGAGGGGATAGTTTAGATGCCGCTTCAATACTGCTGGAGTCACTGGAGTTCGAGATCCACTTATGTGGAGGTCACACCCTTGCGTGCCACCAGCATGTTGAGTATCGGGTTTTTCCGGATGTAGCTCACGGCCTTTTTGTGGGTGACCATGGTGAAGTCGTAGCCGTTGCACTGGAGGATCTTGTCATGGATCCGCAGACCAGCGCGGGCGGCTGGACTGCCCTCGTGCACTTCGGTCACATAGATGCCCTGGTTTAAAATAGTTCGAAATATTATTAAATTGTGATTTCTTCAGGAAATACCAAAGCAAAACCAAATTCTTGATATAAAAAACATACATTTAGCTGTTTATCAATTTTAGGAATTTGTATGTATTTGTTGAAAAACAAATATTCTCAGTTTAAGATCAATTTGTTACGATATAACGCTTGGTTACTTCTTAAGCGTTAGCTGACATTCAAAATACTCTTGTTATAAATATATATGTAACCTGATGACAATATTACTTAGAAGTCAAGGGCAAGGTTCCCTATTGGTTTTTTTCCTGAGTAGACTTCCTAGTATCTTTTCACACAATACTAATAAAACTCCAATTTACTTTTGAATCGTTTGGAAATAATCTGAGTGAAGATCTTTCAATACTACTGTTATAACAATATGTAAGCTTAAGGAACCTAGCTTTAGAGTCGGCCATTAAATACTACAGCCTATAATTGCCAGTCATTCAATTTACTCTTTTTATAAATATAAATAAGCTTAGTTCTCTTTAAAGTCAAGAATTAGGTTCCCTAGTGGTTTTTCTGAGTGCAGTATCCCTAGTAGCTTCTCACATAATCCGTGTAGCCTTGGGGACTCTTTTTATAGTCCTGATCGATTCCTCCGCCGATCTTGAAGCCGCACTTTAGAATCTCCCGCCCCTCCTGATCGTAATCCTTTTCCTTGTGCAACGTGATGGGAATCTGGAAATTGTACATTTGAGTTAGTTTGTATGAAAGTAGCTTCCAATAATTTTTTTGGGGGTTCCAGCGACCCGATTTCACCAACACACCCACGCGACTGTGTGCGTGTGAGTCAGGCTTAAACCATTCACAACTTACGCTCAAACATTCCATTGCCGTGCCGGCCTGGTGCTGAAATGCCATTTTCGCCATGTTTGCAGGTGTTTTTATTTACTTTGATTTGCTAAAACAATTCTAAAATAATTAGTCAATAGAGGTGGAAAAGCATCGATGCCAACTGCTGATATCGATGTTCTTAAAATATCGATAAGTTGAACGATTTCCCTACAGAAATGTTAAAAACTAACGGTTTTTTAACAGAAATGTTAAGTATTAACGATGTTCTAACAGAAAATGCAAATGTTTGCTTATCTAAATGACGAATTTGGACATTTTGAAAAAAAAAAAACAATTAGTACATTACATTAATTTAACTCTACAAGCCTTACTGATTTGAATTAGCTTATGTAGGCCCCCCATTAACCTTTGAGTCGCAAGTTATATTACTATCAATAAGCCGTAAAGTGAAAGCCTTTACAACTTATTGCTGGCAATGTTTGTAGTTTTATTTAAGTGTTAAATATTAAGTGTTCTAGAGCCTAAAAACCTATGACCGCCGCATGGCCAGCATAGTATTGATCTCCCAGATTATGATGCGTGTTCTATCAATGATCTCGCGGAGCTGCCGGTTCTTCAGCTTCACAGTCTCAATGAGTTCGTGGTTCTCCTGCAGGACCTTTCTGTACTCATCGCACTGCGAGGGCTCAATCCTCGGCTCCGGCTCATCGCGGTAGGGAATCAGACTCTCGGCGCTCATGTAGTCCATGCCAGCGTCGTTGCATTTCTCGTAGATGATGCGAACCCGCTTGAAAAGCAACCTTATGGTGCGGAAGTATTCCTGCACCTTCTTCTCGGTGTTGTTGTCCCGGTGCGAAGTGGGCTGGATGTTCTTGAGGGAGGCGAACACCTCCTGGAAGCGCGAGGCGATGTCCTGCACGGTTTCCTGGCCCAAACGCGATAGTTGGACAATGTTGATCTCCTTGTGGGGATTTTGCTGGGAGATGGCCAGCATGTTGTTGTTGCCCCCTCCAGCATTTCCACCAGGTGGAATTCCTGCTCCAGGATTGAGTTGTTGCTGCTGTTGCTGGGGAATGTTCTGTTGTGGCATGTTTTGCTGCTGTGCTTGCTGCTGTTGGGGCACCACGCCACCTACACCTCCCATTCCCACGCCGACGCCCACGCCCACACCAACTCCCATGCCCACTCCTTGCTGGGGCATTATCATTTGTTGCTGCTGCATCATCTGCTGCTGCTGCATCTGGTGTTGCGGCGACATGCCGGGCATCAGGCCGACGCCAGGACCTCCAGGTCCTTGGGGATTCATCTGCATTCCACCCGGTCCGCCCATCATGCCCATTTGTTGTTGCTGCTGCTGATGCTGCGGCGACATGTGCATCTGCTGCATGTTGCCGTGCTGCATGCCGAATCCGCCCATGGGCATCATGTTGGGGCCACCAGCTGCTCCGCCGGCGCCAGCAGGTCCCTGGTTGCCTTGGTTTTGCCCGTACTTCCACATTTTTGCAATCTTAAAAAATAACAAACAGCAATTGTGGAAACCTTAAAAAAGTGCGGTGTTGGAAAGCGCCAAAAGTGCAGTTAACCAAACAGCTGGGCCGGCATTTAAGTGCGGATAGGTGTTGAGCTCTTGAATTCGCTAAATTCTGGATAAAAAACAAACTATATCCATATGGAAGAAAATATACAACAAAATATGTGTTTTTAAATAATAGTAGATATAATTCCCATAAAAAAATATAAGAACCACATAATATTTCTTTCAATTAATACAAATATAATAACAAATAATATTATGCACTTAATATAATTGTTACTTTTTTTTGAATGTGCGTATTTATATGGACTGAACAATGCAATATTTTTATATAATTTCCATTTTCAAATATGCTAGATCTAGCCTGAAATATACTTAACTGGCAACACTGCGGTAGACTGTGGAGAATCCAAAGAGAGGTTTTACAACACTTCAGCAGTCAGAGAGTTGCCAGGTGGGCCGTAAAATAGTAAGTGCTGGAAAGCGCGAGACTGACAGCTGAGCGGCATTTGGTGGAATTTGTTCTCATGATTTCAAAAGTGAACTAAAACATGTCTCGCGACGAAAATAATGGATTTAGTGAATGGGTAAGACTATAATTAAACATTTACGACTTTAAATAACAGCCGCAAATTCTCTTTGTAAGGGCGGCTACTTCGAGGCCAAGAAATCCAAGTTGGAGGAGCAGTTCGCGGCCGCCAGCGATCCATTTCGCAAATCTGACCTGTTTAAAGGTATTTCCATATTTGCTAATGGCCTGACCAATCCATCGGCGGATGAACTGAAGCGCATTATGATGGTACACGGCGGAACCTTTCACCACTACGAAAGGAGCCACACTACCTTCCTAATAGGCTCTGTGCTGCCAGACGTCAAGGTCCGGAACACGAATCTCAGCAAAACTATCAGTGCCAAGTGGGTGGTGGATTGTCTGGCCAACAACAAAATAATGGACTACAAGCCTTATCTGTTGTACACCAACCAGAAGACTTCGCAACCCAGGCTTGATTTTGGAAAGATGACCAAAAATGGTAGTATAAGTGAGAGCAAGATGGTGATGGAGCACCCGCCAAAAAATGAGCTTGGCGGGATTCTCAAGGAGCTACAGCAGGCGGAAAAGGAGGTCAGCTTATCCGAGATTAAGATCACCAACTTGGCCACCGAAGACAGTACTGCAGATGAAAGCAAATTAAAGGTGGAGGAGCCCCCGAAAGATGAGCTGGTCGGGATTCTCAAGGAGCTGCAGCAGGCAGTGACCACTTCGCCGGAAAAGCAAGCCAATTTATCCGAGATCAAGATCACAAACTTGTCCACCACTTCAAATACTTCTAGCGTAGCACGTACCGCCGCTGATCCTAACTTTCTGAGCGAATTCTACAAGAACTCCCGCCTGCACCACATTGCCACTCTGGGAGCTGGCTTTAAGCAGTATGTGTGTGAGCTGCGCCAGAATCAAGGCTCAAAGGGATTCCCCAAGCGTGAGACACTGAAATCCCTCAAAAAATCCAACCAAATGGGCTCAGAGCGCTTTGTTATGCATATCGACATGGACTGTTTCTTTGTGTCCGTGGGCCTGCGCTCGCACCCCGAGCTCCGTGGCCTGCCCATTGCAGTGACTCATTCAAAAGGAGGCAGTGCAGCTACCGATGTGCCCGTGCATCCGCAGGCGGATAGAAAGGTCGAGCTTGAGCTATTCGCCAAGCGCTTTGAGCACCACCTTCATGACAACACCAAAGCCGATAAGGTACGCTCTGGTTTCGACAAGAAGATGTCGCTCTCGGAGATCGCCTCCTGCAGCTACGAGGCTCGGGCCAAGGGCATTCGCAATGGCATGTTCGTTGGTCAGGCCTTGAAGCTCTGCCCGGAGCTGAAGACGATCCCCTACGACTTTGAAGGCTACAAGGAAGTGGCCTTTGCCCTGTACAACACAGTGGCCCAGTACACCTTGAACATCGAGGCAGTGAGCTGCGATGAAATGTTTGTGGAGCTAACAGACCTGATAAACGAACTGAAGGTGGATGTGATGGCTTTTGTGGGGCATCTCAGGCAGGAAGTGCACGCCAAGACGGGATGTCCGTGTTCAGCGGGTGTGTCCGGCAATAAGTGAGTGTCAAATTTCCTAAAAATTAAATCAAACTAGAGTAATTATCTCTTTTTAGACTACTGGCCCGCATGGCTACCAAGGGGGCCAAGCCCAACGGCCAGTTCTTGCTGGACTGCAAACAGGATATTCTGTCCTACATGGCGCCAATGTCGCTTGATGCTCTGCCAGGAGTGGGAAGCAGCATGAGCCACAAGCTCAAGCTGGCGGGCTTGAACAACTGTGGAGATGTGCAGGGGACATCACTGGAGAGGCTGGAAACGGTTCTGGGCAAGAAACTGGGCCAGAACTTATTCCAGAACTGCAGGGGCATTGATGAACGTCCCTTGGCTTTTGAACAAGTTGGTTGTCCCAATATTTATTAGTGTTTACTGTTTAACAAACTACTTCTTTTTTAGGCGCGCAAAACGGTGTCCGCCGAGGTAAACTTCGGCATCCGCTTTACCAATTCGAATGACTGCGAAAAGTTTCTGCGCCAGCTTAGCGACGAGGTTACCAAGAGACTTATCGACATTAAGCGCAAAACCAGGTCAATCAACCTGAAGATTATGGTCCGTGCCCCCGAAGCGCCAGTGGAAACCTCCAAGTATATGGGTCACGGAGTGTGCGACACCATCAACAAGTCCGCGCTTATTAAGCATGCCACTGATGATGTAAATGTAATCACCTCGCAAGTGCTCAACCTGATGAAGGAAGCCGATCTGTCGCCCCTTGAACTGCGCGGGATTGGCATACACCTTACTAAGTTGGAGGATGCCAGCGAAGTTCCAAAGGAGAATGTCATCAAGCGCATGTTCGTCAAAATGTCAGAGATTAAGAAAGGTACTTAAATCGATAGGAGTAGCATAACATAGAAATAATACCTCCACATCACCCGTAGATCAACCTGCAGTGAAGAAACCATTAATCGAAGTTAAGTCTGTGGCACTGGAACATTCGACCACGTCACTAAACGGAGACAAAGGTATTGAAACTGATATATACATATTTGCGGACGAAATAACAGTAGTTTTTAAACTTTTTGAAGTAGCAATCAAAAATAGTTTCTAAGCAACTTTTACAGTTTTTTTTATATATTTTCTAATTTAAAAAATAGTTCGGATATTCAAATCATTTTTATTCCGATACAAAGTGCAGTTGAAGAAAAATTTATGGTTATTAATTAATAATTTGTTGTAGACTCATTAACTACAGTATGTTGCAATGTGAATATTCAAGAATTATTAACATTTTTCATTTTCATTGACCAATGAAAACAATATTAAAGATTGGTAACTAGCATTTTGATAAATTAAAAAATGTTGTCCCACGATTGTTAGTTTGTCTGTTTTTGATTGTCCCACTACTGTTATTTAGACCGCAGCTTTTGTAGTTTTATTTATTATAGTAACCTTAATCTCCCGCAAATCGCTGTGCAGTGGAGAAACCGCCAGCAGATGAGATCAAAGCCAAGACCCGGGAGCCCAGGAACGTGATGGCCATGCTGACAGCAGCAGCAGTGCAGGGAAGAAAATCGCTAAACGTGGAAGTAGTGCCACCTGGTGCTGAACTCGATCCAGATATTCTGGCTCAGTTGCCGGAGGATATACGCCTCGAAGTGCTCACGCATAAGGAGCAATACCTGCGCATAGCCGAAAGCGATGGAAACACCGCTGCTGCTCCTCGTTCTCCGCCGCCTTTGATGAGGCTCAACCACTCCACAAATGGCAGTCCCTTAAACGCCAGCGATCTGAAACCATCTACTTCCCGGGCTGCCGTGGCCCGATTGCAAGAGCGTACAATTCGCAAGGAGCAAGCACCTCGCGTCCGATCGGATGAGATCGTGGCGGAATACATTGATGAGCTGCCCAAGCACATGCATCCCGCCATTCTGGAGTACATCTCGCGACCCGCCAACGAAGTGCCCGGCCTGTTGATGGAGCACAACTACAAGAGCCTGCTCAACGAATGGGTCAGCCGGGAGGAGGTGCCTAAGCCAAAGGACGTGGAATTAATTCACCGACAGATCTCCCACATGATTAAAAACGACAAATTGAATCACATATACGACGTGATGAAGTATTTTTGCCGGTATTTATTGGGTCTTAAACTGACGATTTTATTCCTTTAAACGTTATCCTTCTCATGCAGCATCATTAATGCGAAACGAAGCAGCTCCTGTTGCTGGCATGTGGCATACAAGCACATCGAGGAGAATATTCAAAACCAGATTCTGGAGCTTGAGGGCTACAGCCTTTGCTTCACCGAAAACATTCGCTGCTACAAGTGCACGTAATTTCCTGGGAGCACCTCAAACATGTTTCAAACGGATAAGGTTAAGGTATTTGAATAATTTCGCATTGCACTTGCAAGAGTACTTATAGTAACATTTAAAAATTAGAAATTTTGAAGCCTCTTTATAAGAAAGGTGATATTGTTTTAGACTATGGAGTCATTGGCCATTTTGCTTTATGAGAAAGGATCTCAAAAACTATTTTTAAATAGTTGTTTTATTATTTATTTGTAACGAAAATAATTGATACTGGATTAAATCCGGAGAGTTAATTAATATTTATATTTTTATTGAATGTTAATAAAGTTCAAGTCTTTGTAAGAATTTAAGACTACATCAAGAAGTCATTTGCCATTTAACTTTATGAGAAAGTCTCTTGAAAACTTTTTTAAAAAGTTATTAATTAATTTCATTTTAACCAAAAGAAAGCATTTGGTTGTTGAGTTGAATCCAGAGAATTCCTACCTGGAGTCCAATCCAGAGAATAAAATTGATTTTTATATGTTAAATAAATGCTATTAAAAGTTCAAAATATTTTGTAGTTCATTAGTGAAAAATGATGTAGTTTTTCTTCGGAGTAATTTCTGTTTTATTCATATAGCTGGCTGAAAAGAAATGCCACCGAGCCATTTACAACTTCAAATGTGCTCAGGTAGCAATTAACGTAGCAAGAGCGGTAAATAATGTGGGGCTGTGGATTGGTTGCTGCGACGATGGCGTTGATAACTTCATACGTTAAAGGGCAGAGCCCCGTCTTCGAGGTGGCTTTAAACTGGCGGTGGCTTAAACCAAACGCCCCGGTGGCTCTTTCCCAGCACAGCAAAGCCGGGCCACTCAAGACAAATAGGCCAGGCGGGCACAACACCTGGCGGAACTGGCAAGTCATAATTTGCACTTTAATGAAAGCGGCATCGCATCCACTCGAACAGGTTAGTGTTGAACAGTTCTCTAAAGTCACTGCAGTTAATCGCTGCGACGGCTGTAATATGTAATTGATTCGCTCGCCTTTGCCTACCAGTTTCCCCTTAAGAGTCCCACAAATCCAGCATCCAGCTTCAATCCGAACCTATCCCATCCGCAGCCCCATGACAAACCATAACAATTACAAAGCCAGCTGTCCAGAGATGGCAAATTTCTGGGAAAATACTTAGTTTACTATTTTAGGAAATTTTTTAACATTATAAATTAATTTTTAATCTTATAGAAAAATTAAAAAAAATTTTGGGTACTCCTATCCAGTAACCTTTTTTCCGAACTTCAAAGTTAAAACAAAAACTATTAAATACACTAATGTTTTTTGAAGAATAGCTATTTCAATTATACTTACTGTATATCTCTTTGCCCTCTGAAAAATGTATTGCGGGTTGGTCTTGATATTCCTCTAATTAAAATCTAAATATAAAATATAATTAATAAGAAAAGGTAGTTTAGTTTAAAAGTATTTTGTATTTATTCCAATGTTTTTGCGTCGTATACAACTACTTAATGTATTAGGTACTTATATTTTTTTGTAAATTCATATTGTGAGGTTTAAAATTGGGTACAAAATTCATAAAGTCTCTGGTAAAAATATTTGTAATGTAACCCAAATGGGTTCAAATTTTTCAAAGTACTTAATTAAATTTAGGTACTCATATATTTTTAATACATATTGTAACAAATGGTACAGATATTAATAATGTAATATAATGGGTAAAAATTCGTACCATCTCTGAAGGCCACCCCCCTTTTTGCTGGCAGCTGGAGCTCAAACACGAACCCAAACTCAAGCTCAGGCTGGAGCAGATGTTGCCCGGTAATTATAAATAGTCAAGCTGCATTTCTGGCTCAGCATCCGGTGGCGATGTGGCTGGTGTCTCTGTGGGTTGGGAACGAAAATGGGAGTGGGAATGGGAATGGGGATGGGGATGGGTATGGGGATGGGCTGGACCTGGCTCTCGGGATTTACATGAGCTACGCTTTGTCTGATTTAATTATGTGCGCAAAAGGCGTCGTTGTTTCATAAATTTTATGCATCCTGTCGTCGCGGAACTCGGTAGCAACAACATGGGGCTTCCAGCAGCAACTGCAACTTGCCCCATGTAGTAGTAGTCGAGTTATCTGGCCCAGACCAGATGCAAATGTTGTCAAGTTTTGATAGACTTGTTGGCTGCCAAAGCGATTTGTCAACGACTCCTCGGCGGCTGGTTTGGCTTGGCGTGGTGCTTAGATTCTGGTCTCCACTGATTCCTCTTAGCATCGCCTAGTTTTTGTTCATCTTTTCTTAAATTGAGATAAAGAAGAGTTCAAATTGTATTCTGAAAGCTACTTCCATTAGCTGCAAAAATTGAAAGTATTTACATTACTGACATTGTCAAAAATTCAACAGCAACTTATAAAGGACGTGGTAAATCAGTTAAATAAATAGTACACATATATTCCTCAGTTTCATTTAAATGGTTAATATTTTATGGAATATTGAAAGGTTTTATCACTAAAATGAAAAATGATATGTGTTCACTGAAGTAAACCAATTAATGCTGATCAAAAGACAATTTTATTTATGAAGGATTACCAATATGAAGTCTAGATTTAATGGAAATGCCAATAATAATGGCGTTGATCATATTTATTTTATTTGATATTCAAATGTATGCGGCATTTGACAAATTGATTGGGTAATAAGATAAACTGCAGTACACATTTATTACATTTGATAATCAAATGTTGTATGCCGTATTTGACAAATACATTTGAGAGACACATACCACATTCAAAAGCTCTGACAGCTATCTTCCACCAACGGAGTGATGGGTGAGTGTGAGTACCTAGCAGTCTAGCAGCAGTAGCAACATGTAGGCCTAAACCGAAGCCCTGCGTGTTGCCAGGTTTATTCCCACGCTCGCAAAGTCAAGCAGACTGCCAAACTGGCAACAGTAGCTGCCGGAGCAGCTGGAAACTGTCAGCATTATCGGACGTGACTCCGCGACAAGATCACTGCTAGAGTTTCACTATGTACTAGTGTACGCTCAGCTGGTTTCAGCCCTATGCCAACGACATTGCCCACATGCAAATGTACATATACATGTGCTGATAATGCCTGGGGTTTTCTGTGTGGTTGGTTTCGGCTGCTTAGCTGCTAGGCTGCTACCAAATAAGTCGCGGCAGACGATTCGGATTTAGCCGCCAAAGTTGCAACTGAGGTTGGGTCTATGCAAAACTTCTAGCCAATTAACTTGGCCGACGGCAAAGGAGAGACCTGGTGCTGGAGCTGTGCCTTATGATTAGAATCGTCGACAGCGGGCCGCCAAACGGCCACAGCAACAGCATATGCAACAGCAACAGCAACAACAGCAACATCAACAACAGCAACATCAACAACAGCAACAGCAACTGCAACAGCAGCAAAATCAACCGCAAGCAACCAAAGCTAATGAACCATGTTGCCGCTGATGAACCCGAACTGATTAATGATGGTTGGATGGGAAGGAATGGGCCAGCAGGCCAGCAGTTGCCACTGCCAAGACCGATGGGGTTACACTCCCGAATCCCGAGTCCCGATCCCCAACCCCCTCCTCCAAAATCCCTGAGGCCCAGCTAACAACTTAACTAGTTCAGTGGTGGGCTTAGGGTTAGCAATAAAAGCAGTGGGAGAAATTTGTGTTAAACTTTTTGTTTCCGAAAAGTTTATTGACATATTTTTATAACTTTATAAACCTCATACAAATTATTTCTTTGGTCAATTATTAATTTAAAGTATGTGAAAAATGTTATTTACACATGTTTGAGGACTTTTATTGTCAAATAGTTTTGTTATTTGATGTGTAAATAAATATTATCTATCATCTTTAATTCTTTAGGTACAGCCTTAATCTTTAAATTCGTTTACAGTTGTACATATTTATTAAAAAAATCATATTGGTTTTTTATGTTTTACAAAAGCATAAGTATAATAGACAGCTTATAACAATAGCAATATTTTTACTTGTAATAAATTCCAAAAAAGAAATTTCTTTAGTTGGAAATAAATTTTAAATATCTTGAAAAATGTATAAAAAAACTCACACTTGTTTAGGGACTTTTTTTTGTGAAATAGTTTGGAGGTATAAATAAATATTATTCCCTTCAATATTCTCAGTTAAATATTTTGACTTTGATATATTTAATTTTTTAGACTTGAGATTTTACAAAAGCATCAACCAACAAATTAATTTAAAAATAAAATTTTAAGTCTACTTTGGCAGAATTGATGTTATTTATAGATCATCTGTGTTTTTTGGCGTGTAGAAGTAGAGGTTCACTCAATTTTCGGCCAGCTGAGTAAGGAGCTGACAAAACCCGGCAAAGGCGAAGGCAATGGCAGTGGCAAAGGCGGTGGCGATGGCGATGGCGAAGCCCAATGGCCATGGCCGAAACAAAGGCCGCGCAGGCGCACCTGAGAATGTTGATAGCCCACGGAGGCAGTCGGACGGAGTGGGAGTGGAGGTGAGATGGTCAGCAGGAGGAAAAAAGGAGGAGAACCAGCTCGAGTCCAAGTGCAAGTCGTTTTTTATGCCACTCAAGCGGCGACAACAGGGATTGCTGCAACAAGGGTCTTGAAGATCCGCGACCGAAGTGGAGTGAGGGGCCAAGAAGTGTAGTAAACCTGGCCCAAAGCTCGTTTCGGCCGGGCCCTTTATCACATGCGCACATCATTTACTTGAAAAGGAGACAGGGACGCAGCAGCGCACTTCAGCAATTGCCTTTAAAGTGTTTGCGTCGTGACAAAATCAATGTTGCCCGTCTGTTGCTGTTGCCGTTGCGATGTTGCTGCTGCGAAGTTGCTGCTGCTGCTGCTGCTGCAATGCTGCTGCCGTGCAGCTGAAGCTGAAGCTCTGACAGCCTCCTCGCGGACAGTGATTCATGGTTTATTAAGCGCATTATGCCGCAGGACACTTTGAAGTTTACAAAGAAGAAGGAGAAGGAGCAGTTGCACGTGTTTCGAGGCCCTTAAAAATGCGGCAATCGTTGGCTGGCCCTTTGGCCATGACTTGAACACTTGGCTGGATATTCTATGTGGCTGCCGTCTTGCAGGGCCGGCAATTGATTACTTAACGTGTTTTATGCGTACGGCGAGCTATGTGCCGTCTGCCAACTGCCAACTGCCGACTGCCGCGTTAATTTGCCTCCGTGGCCTTGGTCCAAACTAAACGTCCAAACAAATTGCCGCTCGACAGGCGCGGCCGTAAATCAGCGCAGCGGTCAAAACACATCAGCAGCATCAATGGTCAATGGCCAACTGGCCGTGCGTTTGCCCAAACACAATCTCGACTTGAGAGCTTCCCATGCCAGAAAGCGGTGAAAAATCCGCAAACCCTCCAGCTGCAGACACCCACATGCGGCGAGACCAATTTCAAACGGGGCGGTTCGAAAATCACTTCAAACGATAAGCCAGTCAGTGGAAAAAACAGAGGTGATGGCGTGAGGACAATAAAGCGCATATAACCATATCCCTGTCAAAAAGGAATAAATAACACGAAAGTTTCGATGGTGTTTAATCCTACTCCTACATTCCAAAGAATTCAAACCACAAAACTAAACATGAGTTTAATTTGATTATTAAAAGTTGTTCTTAGACAATATTTAAAAAAATCAAATATAGATTTCAACAGAAGAACAGAAGAAAATAATAGCTCAATTCCGAGTTTCTTTAATAATTGCTCAATTTGGCTCGTGTCACGCGACTTTGCTCTAGGTGTGAACCAACACGGCGTATGCGCAACGCTCGCATGTGCAAATGGAATTAATTATGCGCCGCGTAAACAAATACAAAACGAATGGAAATTGAGTGCGAGATGAATTGCCAGTCGGAGATGTTGGCGGGCGATAAGGAATATAAACGCGGCTCTGATTTATGCTCGTGTTGCTGTTGTGCTGTTGCTGCTGCTGATGTTGCAGCCGTGTGTTGCCG